CGACTCTGCTACGACACCGCCGCCGCGCCATGACACTGCCGTCGCGCCACGACACCGACTCCGCCATGACACAGCCGCCGCGCCACAACACCGACTCCGCCAAGATCAAGGTCCCTCTGCCCCCCTTCTTCAGGTTTTTTATGAGGTCATTCATTGTAGAAACTCTGCTACGACACCGCCGCCGCGCCATGACACTGCCGTCGCGCCACGACACCGACTCCGCCATGACACAGCCGCCGCGCCACAACACCGACTCCGCCAAGATCAAGGTCCCTCTGCCCCCCTTCTTCAGGTTTTTTATGAGGTCATTTACATTGTAGAAATCCTTGCTAAAGTCATTCATTCTCTTCGCCCCCTTTTTCAGTTAGGTCATTATCCTTGCTAAAGTCATTATCATTGGAAATTCATGCATATTTCTTTGTCATTTGCTTTAGACTTTGGGTAAGCATCAGGCCGCTTAGATGAATGTAGTTCTTGATCATTCTAGTCATTCACTTAAAACTGTATGGGTTAAAGTATGCTCAATATCTTTTCCTTTTTTCATCTTTAATCTCGTATATGTTTGAACCAGATAATAATTTGTTATGAGAGTGGAAGACAGTAGATAAGAGGTAACTTCCTAACATGTATGTACTTGCTACCGCACTTATAATTTACTGATAGGAAGACAGTAGATAAGAGGTAACTTCCTAACATGTATGTACTTGCTACCGCACTTATAATTTACTGATAATTTCTTTTTAAAGCACAAATTTTTACCTAACATGTATGTACTTGCTACCGCACTTATAATTTACTGATAATTTCTTTTTAAAGCACAAATTTTTAGGTGGTCCATGGCAAGAAAGAGTTTTTATATTGTGAAGAAAGGTCGACGATGTGACATTTTTGGTCATTGGGAGGAATACAAAAAACAAGTTGATAAATTCCCAAATGCCGCAAATAAAGGGTGTAACGTACGAAGAGGCTTTGATTGAATGTGATAAGCACATCATCGCTCGTGATTCAACATCCAACTCAAGGCGTGGCCATACACCTGTTAATGTCCGGACACCTGATTCAACATCCAGCTCAAGAACTACTATTTTCCCCAGCTATGCTTTTGCATTAGGTTCAGTGTTTACAATATTAGTGTTTGTAGTATGTATCGTTATAGTATTTATTTTTTTCTATATTGCAAAAAATTATGTGATTGTGATAACTTTCTTGGATGTTCACTCTATTGTGTATCTTTGTAGTATGTATAGTATGCAAAAATTATGTGATTGTGAGAACTTTCTTGGATATTCACTCTATTGTGTATCTTTGTAGTATGTATAGTATGCAAAAATTATGTGATTGTGAGAACTTTCTGGGATATTCAATCTATTATGTATCTTTGTAGTATGTATAGTATGCAAAAATTCTATTTTTACATGGCATTTGCTCAAGCTTCCTTTAATCTCCTATCAGCATGTCTATATCTTAAATGATTGAGCTCAGGTTCTAAGCTAAGAGTTATAACTGAACCGAGTTTATATTGAAGCAGCTGCATAATGTTGAACTCGGCATAAATATATAATTCGTTATACTATAATACTTCTCTTAATTGGTTAGCAACCAATTTTTTGTTGGGAACCATGCACTAGGGCGTATTCTGCCTCGTTTTGGTCAGCGCCATTTACACTCCCTTATTTCCAGTTGACCCTTACATTGTAACTTCAAATGTTGTACTTGACTGAGCAGGAATTAGACCATGTTATTG